TTTTTTTTTTTTTTTTTTTCAGGAAGCACAAGCATATGCACAGGAGAGTGGCCTTTTCTTCATGGAAACCTCTGCAAAGACAGCTACTAATATCAATGAACTATTTTACGAAATAGGTAGAGTTTTGCTTGAAATTTTGTCTGAAACTTATTTTCTATGCATGATGCAAACCCTATGATATATCGACACGGACACCTATTGGACAAGCCGACAAACGATTTTTCAAAAAAGCACTGACACGACGCATAGATAAAATTCTTTAAAATTCTTCATTTATATAATGCAAATTTAGTTTTATACTTATTCTTAATTTTTTTTGTTGAATTTTTTTAAATATGATTATCTATTTGTTATTTAATATTAACTTTGAATTAAAAATATTAAATATATAATATTTCTAATGAAGAAAGAAAAATAATCTTGGTAGCGTGTCCTAAGAGTCTACATGGACACATCACCCTAGTTGAAGTGTCCGTGCAATAAAACAAACCTGAAATCAGGAATTCAACGGGATTGCTCTTTTCAGAGTGATAGAATACTTAGTGTCTCTTTACAAATGTACTTGTGAGCTGACAGAAATCAGAACACAATTTGAGGAGTGCAAGAGAGTAAGTTGAGACATTATTTTCAGTTGAGAAACGACTTACGGACTTAGGCTTAATTTTAATACGCATATACTTCCTTGAAACCTAGAACCCAAGGTTTATCCTGCCATATAAATAGAAACAAATTGGTTAATCAAATTGCTCATACTTTTGTGATTTTTCACTCTTTTCTTTCTAATAATAAATGTCCATATGCATCTGCAGCCAAGAGACTGCCTCGTTTGCAGCCGGTCCCAAACCCGTCGGGCATGGTTTTCATGGATAGACCAGCAGAGAGGGCTGCTAGTGCTTCTTGTTGCTCTTGAAGTTGATGCGTGCTTCACCAAAGAATAGTCTATGTTCAAGTTGTCACATCGTGTTCGTTACAGATGTTAGCATCTATTTTGAGTATTACTGTTCAGAATTGTACAGAAGAGTCCACAAGATGTTCCATCTTCAAACTTTTTAAGATTCTGCTTTGGGTTCTCATGTGATGAAAGATGAGTGAAAGATACTATTTCTTTGTTTTTTACGAGTGATGATTCTTCTTAATCAATGGAAAAAATATATTGTAGTTGTATTTGTGTTTGATCTACATCTAATACCCCTTCATTTAGATTTCAATGGTAAAACATGTAAATTAACAGCAAAATTCTTGCCGCCAGTGTTTCACGATATGACCGTGTAAGCATATATCAAGAAAGTAAGAGGCACAAAGTTAAAACGAAGACAATTGCCAGTGATTAGACACTTTTGCAAATTGGGATGAGGACCAAGTGAAGTAGGGTATTGGCCGAATCAAGTTTAGCTTGCAACTTTTGATATGCCGTGAAGACATAGTAAAAAATGTTGTCGGTGGATTGATTGAAAAATCAAAGCGAACCAACAGAAAATCAAAGGCGGGCAACCAAGTTTGTAGGTGGGCGTGCCTCATCATGATGTGGTAGGTAGGTTTATTTTGATGGAGCAGGTTGATCCTTGACTTGCTTTTGAAATGAGAATGTAAACTCGGTACAATAATTACTTGAGAATGATTTGAAAAAATATGGAATTGTATATAGAGGGGTGTGTGTGTGTGTTGTTGGGGGGGGGGGGGGGG